GTAGACGGTGGGAGGAGGGCGGTGTAGACGGTGAGAGGAGGACAGTGTAGACAGTGTGAGATCAAGTATAGACAGTTGTAGGAAGGCAGTGTGGACGGTGGGAGGAGGGGGATGCAGACCGTAGGAGGAGGCGGGTGTAGACAGTAGGAGGGACCAGTGTAGACAATGAGAGGACAGCTAGTGTGGACAGTGTCGGGTCACCCGGTGTACAAGCACTCACAGCGCACAGTGAGGGTCACGGGCAGCAGGTCGGGCTTCTCGAACGTCTCGTGCTCCACTTGGCAGGTGACCTGGGCGCCGTCCACGCGGCCCAAGGGCACCAGGGTGAAGCGGCTGGTGACGGTGAAGGTGCCAGGCTCGGACCCTGGCACCTGGGTCTCAGCAGCCTCGCCGTCAAGGGTCGAGTGCCAGGTGATGTGAGCGGGTGGGCGGCCATCACTGGCGACGCAGCGGGCCACAGGCAAGGGGTCCAGGCTGAGCGTCACCTCCTGGGCCTCGGCGTGGTTCCGGGGCTGGGCTGCGGAGAGGGCAGAGGTGGTCACCTTGTACCTGCGGCCACTCCCCAACACCGGAGTGCAGAGCAGGGACAGAGGCAGGGCTGCCTGTTTCAAAGCCAGCTCCACTGGTCAGGAGCACTGCCTCAGTTTGTCCTTCTGTCAAATGGGATCCCGAAAGTGTTCAATCCGTGTGCACTCTGCATATGAAGACTGTCAAGCATTCAGGACCACACGTTGTGTGTTAGACGGAAGATGTTTGCCTGGCTCAGTCAGAAAGGCTGAGTCAGGAGCTAAACGCTAAAGAGGTGGCGATGGAAAAAGCAAAGCCAGTTTTACAAACGCTCAAGATCGTTAGCTATTATTAGAGATGCAAGTCAAAACAACAATGAGATCGCATCAACAGCAAAATTCAGGAAGACAGCAGCGATAAACGCTGACAAGGATGTGGAGAGACTGGAATTCACACACACTGCTGGAGGGAATGCAAAATGACGCGGCCACTACGGAAAGCAACCTGGGACTTCCAGAGAAGCAGTCATACAAACACCATTTGATGCAGCAGTCCCACTACTAGGTATGTATCCCAACGAAATGAGAGCTGAGACAACAGCAGATAAATGCACCCCCAGGTTCCTAACTTGAGCGCCTCTCAATAAACACATGGATAAAGAAACTAAGGTAAGAGTCTTTTGGCACTTCCTTAGAAGACAGCACAAGGTGAATGCATCTGGAGGACACTATGGTAAATGAAATAAGTCAAACAAAATAATTATTATGATTTAAGACCACTATTTTTTTAAGACCACTATTTTAACGAACTCTGGCGGCCTATTGGGAAGTAGCACCGCAAACCCAAAGGTTGGTTGTTGTTATGCTGTCGAGTTGCTAGTGACTCAAAGCGACCCTA